GGAGGGAAATGGGGGGCAGGGATGAGGCAGAAATTTTTTCAATAATAAAAAGGAAATAAAAGAAAAGAAATTTATCCATATGTTTTAGATTTTCCAGTTTGGTGGAATTTCTTAAGGCAAACTCTAATAATTTGCTGAATTTCACTGGTGATTGTCATAATGCTCCATTTTCACATCTTATTATATTAGTTTTGGTAATTGTACTTCCATTTGGTTAGTTTACCTAAGGTGTGTCAATATTGTTTACATTTTGAAGGAATCACATCTGTTTCATTGACTCTCTGGTTTGTTTTGCTGTTTGGCTGCTTTCAAATTATTTCATAAATGTCTGTGCTTACTTTACAGCTACTGATTTTGGCATTTGACTTTTTCTTTTTCCAGAGAGCCCTAAGGTGAATCATTAACTAATTTATTAGATATCTAACTAATTTGTTAATGTAGGTACATTGACCTTAAAACATCTCTTTTAGGTCTGTTTACATTGCATCACACAGATTTTTTTTTTATTGAGAATAAGAAAAAAAAAGTTTCCGCCTCATCCCAGCCACCCATTTCCCTCCCCCCCACTCTTCTCCCCCTCCCCCCACTCCTCTCCCCCTCCCTTTCCAATCCAAAGAGCAGTCATGGTTCCCTGCCCTGTGGAAAGTCCAAGGTCCTCCCCCCTCCGTCCATGTCTAGGAAGGTGAACATCCAAACTGGCTAGGCTCCCACCAAGCCGGAACATGAAGTAGAATCAAAACCCCTTGCCATTGACCTTGGTTCTCATCAGTCCTCATTGTTCGCCATGATCAGAGAGTCCGGTTTTATCCCATGCTTTTTCAGTCACAGTCCAGCTGGCCTTGGTGAGTTCCCAATAGATCAGCCCCCACTGTCTCAGTGGGTGGGTGCACCCCCCCGTGGTCCTGACATCCTTGCTCGTGTTCTCCCTAGATTTTAAAATCTCAGTTGAAATCTCAGTTCTAACAGACCTTCTATTACGTTAGACTTGGTGTTTCCCTCTTGACAATTTCAATGTGCTTTCTTTGTTTACTTATACAATTCTGAGGGAAGATTTTTTTTTAGTCTTTGTGGTGCCCTACTTTCCAACTGTATCTGAGTTGGCATCTGTTCCAACAGAAAGCAACTTGTAGAGATATTGTGGAATATTATTTTAAGATGTGTTACAGTCATTTATGTTGTAAAACATTTATTTTAATGTTTCAAAGATGTGTTGCATTCGTTTATGTTTAATTTGTTTAACTCTGTGAAGCTGTGAAACTTTGCCTGTCTAATACACCTGATGTTCTAAGAGAGAGGTAAGCAGGCAATATTGAGGCAGGAAAAAAGGATAGGCAGGGCTGGTAGGCAGAGAGAACCAAGTTGAACACAGTCACTAGGTCTCATAACTTTGTATATATCAACTAAAGTATAAGAAAATAATATATCCAGACTGAGTAATATGGTAAAAGCCTTCACTCATGACATTTATGGATTTCAAGTAATCCTTTTCTACAAAACAAACAAAGGCAGCCTTCTTGACATTTGCTTTGTAATCCCAGCCTCCAAATAAATGCATTATCTGCAAAAATGACATCTAAAGCAAAACAACTGTTAATTATCAGCAACAATATGCCATTGGCTTATTTTTGATACTCTCACTAACATGCTTTTGGTTTTTTGCTTATTTTCAGACATGATCAGGTGTATCTCAAGTTGGCCACTAATTCACAATGTAATGGAAAATGACATTGAAGCTCTAGTCTTCCCTTGAATCTAACTCCTGAGATTTAGTATTTCAAATGTGTGCCACCACTTCTGGCTTGGCTTTTAGCCTTTTTTGATGGGCATAGGTGTGTGTGTGTGTGTGTGTGTCCATGATTGTATGGAAACAAATGTGTGACTATTTCTGCTCTTGTGCCAAAGCTTGAATGTGGAAGACCCAACAACAACATTAGGTGTTGAGCCTTTATTTCTATTTCGTTCAATAGTTCCTGAGGATTCAAACTCAGGTGCTTACACTTAAAAGGCAAATGCATTCCACTGAGCCATCACCTGAGACCAGCTTTCAATCTCTTTAAGTGACTTAATTCTGCCATTTCTTGTGGAATTCACTTTCTCTCTACAACTTCCCAGTAGGTCATTTACCCTCAGTTTTCTTTTTTTTTCTTTTTTTACCCTCAATTTTCAATTAAATCTTAGAATCCTTGAATTCATATATTCTACTGCTGTTACCCTGACTTAACTCTTCTTACCTTCTTTCCTGATTTGATTCAGTTTTTTCTTCAGATAATGGGTAACAGTGCAAGTGTGAAATGGAGGCTGAGACAGCACTAGACCAGGATCTATTGTGAACACATCACAATAGCCTTAGGAATGTAAATGAATTTTGGATGTGAAGGTGGATGTCTATGCTTGGAAGGTCTCTACTTGTCTGTGTTTTGGAGGCTTCGGTGCTGAAGAGTGACTATTGAGTAGTGGGGGAAACTTAGAGGGGGAAGCCAGTAGAAGGTGATCTCCCTCATAATTACTTATGATAGTTCTTCATATATGATGGAATTAAATACCAAGCCAAACCATGTCCAGAAACCTCTGGCTTACTGTATTGGTGTGATTGCTTTTCACCAACACATGCCTCAGCCACTGATACCCAAGAAGAGGATGTCTCCTCATGGTATCAGTGGTAAAACTGTGGGGTGATGAGTTTACTAGTGTTTTTGATTTTATCAGCTCATTGTAGTGTATGTACCATTTGTTACATTGAATATTGTAAATGTCAGTTTGATTTTTCTTAATAGAGGTATCTACCATTTGCACAAAAGTGCAGAATATCAGGAAGTGCTCACTTTTATTTTTTGTAACCAACAATTTCTTCCTCCCTTCACACAGTTATATTTGGATCATGGTTTGAGCACACCCGTGCCTGGCTGTCCATGAGAGAAAGGGACAACTTCCTGCTTTTGAGCTATGAAGACCTGAAACAGGTAACCAACATTCTTATTTCAACCACAAACCCTCTCACAAACCTACCCCATGGAGCATCCCACATTCTTCAGTGTTGCCATGTCAGTGTTAGGCTCATGAGCACTCACTAAAAGTTAGATTATTGCTTATGTCCTTTATCGACCTGCATCTGACATTTCCTCTCCAGCCTCCTAGTCCGTTTTCCATGTCTTTTTTATCCTACTTTACCCTGAGGAAGGGAGGGATAGCTCACACTTACACTACAGGTTTTTAATTCCGTCTAGGCAGCACATTTGATACATCTGATAATGCAGTGGTCAGTGGTTAGTGGGTACAGTAATGTTATTCTACTGTTGTGCCAAAATGTATGTCATCTACCCTTGACTGCAAGAAGAGAGACAAAGAAGAAAACCACCAGTGAGTTCTGGGAGAATACAAGTTCTGGAGTCACAGGAACAGTACCGAGTGCTACACAAATCTGACTGGGCATCTACAGGGTGCAGCCAGTCAGGAAAGATGGTGTCCTATGCTCTGCAGTATAGAGGGTTCTTCATGATGGACTAGATTACACTACAGATTTCCAAAGTCTTAGTAGAGAATATTTAAAATGTTTCACCATTAAGTAATGCCATGTATTTAAATAGACTGATAGACTATACATTTTCCTTATCATTGAAGGTTTCATTTCATTAAAATTTCCAATTGATGGTATAAGTATGGTTAAGTACTTTGGATGTGTATCAAATATCTCTTATTTTAAAATTAAAAAAATACCTCAGCAGTGTGTCACTTGGCTGAAAACCCAGCTCTGAGACATAGAGTCAGTTTCAGGAGTTCTAGATCATCTTTGCTTGTATGGTTGGTTTGAGGTCAGGGTTGACTACAAGAGACATTGTTTCAAAAGACTATTAAGAAAAAATAATTTTGTGTATTTTATGTTCATTTAATTAAAAATACTCCCTCTTGATGATGGAAGTTATAAAATAATCCCACACTAGTTCAGGATTATTTATTATAAAGGTTTACTTATTTAGGGGTAGGCTCAAAGATCACAGTCCTCTGCACTAATGGGAAACAGGAACTGAAGCTAGCAGCCAGAAATTAGAGTCCAAAGAGAGAGCCAGCGCACTCTTTACAGCTGCATTTATACTATGAGAGACCACGCCCTAGTGAGCTGGTATCTTAAAGGCTATTGGCTGAAAGAGCTTCCAAAGCACCTCCCCCTTTGTTTAATACAAAACTACATACACTAGGAACAGATATCAAGTACAAAGTTAGAATTACAACCAGCATAAACAGGATTAAGCAAGGAACATATCCTAATGTTTTAATAAACATTCTATCCTAAGGAGTCTAAGATTGTAGTAGAAATGGCTTGACTAGATCGTAAGAGGATGGTAATGATGACTATTTAGTCTTCAACCCCATTGAGGACTGGAAAAGGGAGATAACATTACTTGAGTAGGCAGGAAGCACAATCAAGCAGCTTCCAAAATGTACAGTAGATGACAGAGACAACTGGCTGCCTAGGCAATCACTCAAAGTCTCATTTGCAATGTTGAAGCAGCCAACTTTGGCTAAGGCCTAGAGTAACTGACAGACCATTTTCAGAGGCAGGACCTTTTTCAGAACAGTCTTGCCCTGTCTTGTGAAGATTCGGCAGCATTTTTTCTTGTATCCTGTTGGGTCAAGTCTGGAGATTGTGCACTTTGTCATTGGTCAAGGAATGGACAAAAAACCAGTTGTGCCAAAAAGAAAACAAACTCCAAGTGGAGTGTCTCTGGTGCTCAACACTCTCTCAGGAATAGATCAATGATTGCCAAGAGCAATAGTGTCACACATTGACAAAATCCTAAGTTATTTAAATGCCATGTTGTACAGATCTTTAAAGTGGTTAAACATTACCTAGTTATGTGGATAGATACAATCTATCTCTATGTATCTAAAGAACCTGATTAGTTTAACTATATGTAGACAAATGGATGACTATTGACCTATAATACTTAACACCTGCATAACTTAAAGACTAAGACTTCATATTAGAATATTAAACAATCTTTAAACAACTGTGCAACAAATGAGTACAATGACCTCAAAATGTAAACAATGTATAAATACTTGATCACAGGTAGAAATATATAATGCAATATGATAAATATATCCTAAAATTGTTTCAATATACAAAATGTCTTAAACACAAGTAGAAGCATACATGTATGTATACAATCTGACAAAATAACTTTGCAAAGGTATACAAACATACAGATAAATATACAGTTAAGCAGAAATCAGAGCATATTCAATATAACAAATAGAATTTGAACTTTTATCAACATACAAAAATTTATACCAATGTAAATTGTCAGTAAATAATAGCTCACAAGAATTCACTTTATTGCGCATTATTATTATTAGTGTGAGTAAGTTCACACTAATCTACCTATCATCCCATTCAGTTTTCTCTCTTTATTTTTTCTGTTTTTGTTTTTAGATCTCTGGGGCTACATAATTTCTACTCCAACTCCCAACCCTATATGAGTTATAATCTTACCCCAAATGGTGTCCCTGACCCTTAGGACAAGGTTTGTTGGGGAAAGGTGATGTCATCTTCTAGAATTTCTTTGAGCTGTCATGGGGGTGATGTTCTTTCTATGGGATCCTGTCAAAGTAAAATGACAGTTAAGTTTAAAATTACTGTTTTGTATAATTGTGTAAGGTCTCTGAGTAGTCGATAGGGTTTTTTTAAAAGTTCTTATTTGAAGTTTTGACCAAAGCATTGTTAAGAAGGGTCACCACTTCTGGAGCTGATCCCCCAAAACTGGTCTCATAGTAGCGCTATCATGGATGCCTTAATTAACCAGGTGGAATCATTGTTGTGGGTACCACCTTCTACCTGGGAGTTTCAAAGATTACTACAAGAAAATCTAGTGTTCATTGTTGAAAACTTAAACATTATTCATATAGACTTGTGTTCAATGAAAGATACGATATACACAAAATAGGCATGAAGAAAAGTAAAATAT